CATACATCTAACCCAACGGCCCTCTTTAGGGCCACAATTGAAACGTTAACGAATACGAGTATTGCATTGGAGATTGATAAAAATTATTTGCTTAGTTGTTGTGAATACTGTGTGTTGCAATGTTTGCAGTAGTAGCGCTATCTGTGAATTTGTTAAAGATCAATTAAGGAAAGCTTGTGATCGTCCTAAAACTTTATCGATAAGGTTCGATCCCCCGTGGCGACTAAATTTTGCACTCGGGTTGGCGCCCACGGTTTGCTGCTAAATCGAGCTAACTATCAAAATCAGATGTCAAAGTCATCGTCAGGACCACTTTAAAGCCAACAAGTGGCCGCCAACCTTCATTGCAAAATTTGTTCGCCGCGGGGGAGTGAACCATCGAGACTATTATTCACCACTTCTTCGGTACTACTGAAACCCTTCAGCGAAAACGGAGCATGGTTTTGTGGTCCATAGGACGCACTTAATTAGCAAGCCACACATTAGAGTATTGGAGCGATTATCAACAAAACATTCCTTCAAAGTCTTCACCTTCATCGTCCGTAATTCTGCATTCGAGACACAACAGAATCCTAAACTGACATGCAAACCTTGGAAGATCATCACTCTTCATCCACACAAAACAATACAGCAGTAGAAAACATTTATTCAATTAAGCAAATACTTCTATGTATGTCTGTATTCACTCACCTTTTCAGTTTTGGCCCTAAAGAGGACCGTTGGGTTAGTTTTACAAGTAATGTCGTGACGAGAGCTTCTTCTCATCCTCCGAAACTATAGAGGGTACGTCCTTCGCGTCGACGATGTCCATGGCGGTGACGGTCTTTCCTGGCGTACTCACAGTAGGTGACCGCATCACGGATCACACTCTGAAGGGACACCTCGAGAACACCACGACTCTGAAATCTGAAAAAAAATGAAATCTTTTGGACATCACTCAGAGAAGAAACCAGTACCAGAAAGAAAACCAATGTTGGGCTCGTTAAGCACAAGAAAGGGCATGTGATACCCGCCATGTGGCGTTGCTAGAGGGGTACGACCAGTCAGTACGGCTCGGTTATTGCGACGAGCGGAATAGTTGCCCCTATGCGCAGGAGGCGCTAACATAGCATAACATAACAAACAACTTACAACAACTCAACACAAAGCAATGAAGAACATCTCAAATTCCCACTCCAATTGATTCTGAGAGATCAAAGTCAACAGACAACCCTGGCATCGTGGATGGTTCAATGAGATCGAGCGCTATCCGACGACGTTGCACGTTGGATTCGTCCGAGATCGTATTCGTTACTGTTAACTCGATCTGTAACCATCCATAACTTGACGTTTACAACCAAACAATCTATGAACACACTGATCAACACAGTATCAGCCTTGCCTTCCGCATGAATCGGGGTTGCTTTGAAATAATTCAACCTCCCCCTCACCTCTCCAACCTCCATCGGTGAATGTGGTTCACAGCCGTCGCTTGACAACTTGGTTCAACATGGAACGCTCCCAACGCCGCCCTTGGCCCAAGATTGCTGGAACGACAAAAACCGCAAAAAAGCTCCAAATGAGCTTTTCCAAAATTTTCCAAAAAATGTTCTCAAAATTTTTTCTAATTCCATGCTTCCAAAAATTACCCTGGCCAAAACGAACCCTGCCTCAAAAACATTTAACAAGGCCCTTGTCGTATTCGGCCAGATGAACCGCTGACCACTCCCAAGTTAATTAGTTTGGGTAAAAAATTTACTGACCGATCTTCTGAGACGTACCAAGCTCTCTGATCACATGCTCTCCACTTCGCACCACAAACTCTTCGATGTCAATTGTGGTGCCTTTTCCTTGCTGTAGTACTATCACCGACTCCAAGCCATATTTCGGCTACGAATACCTAAAAGCGGAAGAACCAGATTAGCGTCACTATTTAGTCCGCAGAAAGGGAAACCACAGTAATTTTGTCAGAAGGATGCTCCTATAAAAATAAGAATTTCACTATCATTACCAGTATTCACGGGTACATAGCTTTAGAGATTTTTAAAAAGAAAAAAAATTGAAAAAAAAAAACAAATCACTGACATTTCAATATTGCTTTTGACCAGTTTAAAATATTAATTAAGAGCCCAACATAATACAATCTCCATTTTTCCAGCTCTCATCGTAAGTCCAAACGTGTGGCCTATTCAAAGGTCACTTTCGTTTGCCGGACAACAAGCACTTTTTCACGCCACCGTGTTTGCGGAAATCGAGCGGAACACGCAAAAATACACACATCCACAAAGGTTTGCTGGTGGCTGCCGCAGAAAAAGCCTAACAGAAAAACCACAGAGGTCGTGTACGCGAGCCAAATGAAGGCTCAAAGCCGCGCTACAGCCCTTTGATGGCAAAATGACATAAAAATTAGGCCAATCATCCCAGCAGCTTTGAAAGTGATATGCAGTTTATATTAACTAGAAATCACCACCACCACGATTAGATCATTTTTTAAAAACATGAACCCATCCCGAAAAAAGCACTTTCAGGAATACTAGTTGCATTAAATACATCAAAAGGAAAACTTCAATTAATCAATAATTATCTTCTGAATTGCACCACAGAAATCAGAGGGAAAATTATGTACTGTACCTGTATGCCATTCGTTCGCACACCCATGACAAATCCTTCGCACATCTCTTCTCGTCCTTGAAAATACGTCAACACATTCAACTGCACAGACGCTCGGCCAGCATATTGTGCGTTTCTGTGCCTGCAGGAAGGGGCTTATAAACTAAAAGAAATCACTTGGAAATATAAGACAAAATATAGTGCAAGTTGTAAGAATCTTCAGGAAAGTGCTACGTTAAAACGAACCTATAGTTGATATTTTCGGATATCTTCTGCACATTAGCCTGACTGAGCAGGCCCACCTTGATGTCATCTGCACCAATACAAGCGGCCAACAGTCGATGCACAACCACATCAGCGTAGCGACGAATTGGCGAGGTAAAATGGGTATAGATTGGACAGGCCAGACCAAAGTGCTGATACTGCGGCACTGGTATTGTACCTGAACGCAACAGAACTGTTAACTAAGCTATTTTTACTTTGAGGTTGGCACTTTGGAGTCAAAATTCACCCTGTAACCGCTCAGAACGATTTTAACACTGAAATATCTTCAATAAATGCTAGAAGAAAGGAGAGGAATCGATAACAAAGACGTTGTGCAAGAAGTGTGTACAACTAGCACAGGAACGCCAACAGAACCACTGAAACAGTTGGGATTTTCTTCATTGCCTCTGCTTAGAAGGCGCACATTTTGTTCATATTCTGGTGAAACATGAAAGTGGTGAAGTGGCAAGTAACGCCGTTCACCAGAGCACGACTGAAGGAACCGAGATTGGCTACCGACGGGTCCAATCCACACTTCACTTCGAGAATGCTCGATCGGTGTCTGATCCGCCTGGGATGATAAACTTGCATGGCGGCGGTTGACGGACTACTTGCACTCTGCTCTTTACCGCCTCTGCGCTCTCTGGCGGGTCCCTCTCCTCTACCAGGCTTAGTTCTAGGGCATTCTCTAATCGTCTGTGCTCTGACCATCGCGGCAGGACCATTGAGGAAAAATCAAGTAGTCCGTAAACCGCATGGCGGCCAGCTACCGCCAGTAGTAACACAGAACAGACCGCATTAAAATGGCACAGCACTTTCTCATAGAAGTAAAATGTGCGGCGTAACCCAAAGGTTTGCTAAACACTAAGAACTTCATCCTTTTGATCGAGTTATTGAAACTTTTCCGAAAAGGCAATTTGGTGGACGATAAAAGACGAAGAGTCTTCTGTATGAAAACCCGGGTATTTATGATAACAGGTAGTCAGACAACAAGAATCGAAATAACCACCAAGCCACAGTTAAACACGTTATTGCTCACCGGACTTCCTTTCTGCTCGGGATACTCTTTCAGTCGAACACTGCGCGAGGCCATAATATATCCTGTTGGAGTGTTCCGGTATATTCTTGCAGAAACGAAATCTCTTCCACTTACAATCAACACGTCATTGTTTCCACACTGAAACGCATTCGACATTCTCAAACGAGCTCGAAAAACAACACAACAAAGAAATGTTAGAAAAGCGCAATGAAGGGACCAGAGCGCTCGAACAGGAAGCTATGTTTCATATCATTGCATCAAACAGAAGAAAAAAACTGACCGTTCTATGATCAAGCTCTATACCCAATTACACTAACTTCGGCGGCGCGACCATTCAAAATCCTCATGCTAGTATCCGGAAATGGGGTTAACTAAGAAGTTGGGCTACTCCCAAGCGCGCGGACCGGGGCCGAAATTCGTAACAAACCCCTCCCAAGTCGACCATGCCCTTTTTCAAATTTTGGTTAGGCAATGGTGATAGGGCGATGCACTGAATTGCAGTCTGGCTGATCATCTATCGCGTCGTATTCAAAGGCTCAGGTGATCCTGAATAGAAGGGAATGTGGGGCGCATCCCGACTGACCAACGACGACATCAGTGGTAATTCTTTCTAGTCTCCACATAGACATACCAACAAACAACCGAAAATAATTATGAAATAAAAAACAATATAACATAAAAAGCTGTTCAGATACAATATGTTTTCCATAAGAACCCACAGTGATTACATCGAAATGTGAGGTAGGAGATGCAACGGTGTGTGCAAAATTTATATTAGGGTTCCACTCGGGTAGTCCATCACCAGTCCAGATTTCGTTCATTACCGAATCAACATCGAGAGGAAGTTCGGTCTGAAAATTACATTAATGAAATTCTCAGCAAGCAGAACAAGAATACTTCCACATATCACTGTAATTCTGCTGCATTGAAATCTTTAGCTGCTTAGTACTCGGCCTGCTGTTCTAACATTTGCGCGTCAATAAAATAGATCTCAAAACGAGGAAGCAATAACATTACTATTCTCTGAACTCCAATGCAACAAGAGGACAAATTCAATGAGAAGCAAAATTTCAAACTACTATTTACTGCAAAAGCTGCTGTCAGAGTTCGCGATCCGTCGTTCGATTCGTGGTCTCTGACACCAGCCAGAGTTGGCAACAGAAACACATTCGGAAGGGCGGCTACATTTATTACAATTACATGCCACTATGAGCCACATTTTGACGAAAATCTTTGCAAGCTAGAGGCTGCTAATCTCACTCCAAAGGACAAAATAAATCACCATCAATATGAGACACGGCTTACCGAAATAGACACCATTTTGCCTTTGGGTGTATTCTTTGCGTACACAGTGTCCCCTTCATCATTTTCTTCGTCTACTCTCCACCCTTTCTTCTGCGCAAAGCCGGATCGTTGAAAAGGTGCTCGACTTCCCGGAGAGCAGCACCTGCAGTTTCCAGTGCAGATGCGTACTGAAAGCAATAGCACCTGACTCACAAGCGATTTCAAGCTAACCTGAATAGTGCTATCGAGAACTTGTTAAGAAGTTCGTTGGTAGATAAGGATAAGAAGCGGCCTTTTTTGTTACACAATCTTTTCTATATCATAAGGCGGAAAACCGCGGTGAAAGGAGAAAAACAGTGAAACGAATCCAAAAAAATTCAAAGGGGAGTCTTCACGCATGGACGACTATTTGCGAAATGACAACATAATCCACGCTCCCATCATGAGTGTATCAGGGTGTGGTTCTCATTCACAGGAGACTCATTCACAGGAGAGTTTTTTAGAAGCGGCGTAAATTTCATAGTTCATTGAGCGAGAGCGCCAAAAATTTTATTTCAAAAGACTGATGATCGTCGCCAATACAAAGGGCATCCTAAGTTGTTAGCAGCGGCCGCACTGCTCCAGGAAAGCACTTGATTTTAGGAGGGAGACGTGAGTGACGGTCGGCTAACCTCTTGTAACCGAGCGCATAAGAAGCAATTATGATGGCTGTTGCTGGGAAGAGGTCACCAGATAAGTCCATTCTGGCGAATTCTCAGCAACAACTAGCATCACAACTACTACCAATCGCTCAATTCGCCACTGGAACATTTGTGATGAGTTTTTAAACGTTATATTCTTACAATGCAAAACGATTGATCAGTGGCCATTCACAATATGCTTTTACATATCACAATCATATGTCAATAACAGCCTTTATGCTGAGCCGTACGAGCTACAAAAATTCTGATTTTTTTCGGAAGGCGGGGTTGGGAAAGGGGGTCATCATTACGTACCAACCAGTTTACAGTGATACACAACTTGTTTTTCGACAATGAAAATGACTGCAAACGGCGCACAATGTTTCAATTCCTTTGCCTTCTACAAAATCATTCTGTGCAAAGGTAAGCGTGTGCCGAAGTTATGGAAATTGCGTCGCTAAAAATATAATGATACGGACTTCTTTGTTCCCCTAGCCTCAGAAGGGAGAGGATACAGCCCTCCTTCCAACTTATACAGATGCTCCAGGGTAAGGAAAAAGCAAAACGAAATGGTCCCCACTATGGGATTTTCTTCCTTATGAAAAATAGAATTTATGTAGAGGCAGCGAGTGTCGCACCACGTGATCGCCATTACTGGTCGGGCTCCCTTATTATACTGAACGAGAAGGACACAACCACGAGGGACTCATGTCCATGGGGGGGGACATCCAAGCGAGTGAGCGAATTATTGCGCTTGTGACTAAGCCCAGGCTGGAGAAAGAAATTCTGTGGGAGCAAATGTGTGTGGCCGTTTTGCCGTTGCTCTCCTCTTGGGCTTAGTCCTGATTTCACCTTCAATCGGCCATGTTGTGGATGTGGCCCTTCCCCCCACCCCAAGGACATGAGCGCACACCGACGGACCAACAGAAGAACTGCAAACTGAACTAAAGTAAAGTGAAAAAAGCAGTTGTAGGAAAAAGTTGTTGTAAGAAGTAGGTAATGTTACATTACTCACCACCGCTGCCCGTGCATTGCGTACCGCTTCTGCCTACCGTCTCTTACGCCTGAATTTGCTGTGAGCAAATGGCTTGGATCATCGCCGACTGATAGAAATAGGTGTAAATTAATAAATGGCTCAAATTTGTAGTAAAGGAAAGAATAAGGACTGATTCAGAGGGTTCGTGACTAAGCTACGGATGGAAAGGGAAGGGGTATAGCTGACTCGTTGAAAACAAAGCATTAGCAGGGCTAAGCATTTAGCAGCACCACACTGTGCTTGTGGAATACGCCACGAACTCTGAACTTATGCAGCAGCACAGAACCATTTGAATGCGATTGGGCTACATAATAACAAAATGGACGACTAGTTGAAACATATCCCAATACTATTCCACTCGCAGACTAGTCTGATACCAATTTACCGCCGATGACAGGAGAGAGGATTGGTGCTTTCACGAGGTGAGATCTGAGAACGGCTCGTAGACACCATCAATGAATCTATATAGTACATATCTGCGACATTACGTGATTCCTAAGCTATACACCTTATTTGATGAATGGCATAGAAAGAACATCGAATTCCGCCATATATCAATCCAGATAAACTTAATGTTATTTATCATCGGGGCCATGTCTATGAGCTTCGTGTGAGGGCTCCTTCTGCTCTTGAGGGTGTATAGAAGCAGAATGTGATAGATCCGAGGGCGTAAGTGGAATTCCACGAAACGGAATGTAAGCAGATTCGCGTGACTTCAAAGATTGAACCATAAGGGACCTAAACTATGAGTACTGATTACCAACTCCTAACCGCGACCCTTTTAAAGAAAAAAACCTAGCGCCGAAGATCGAATGTAACCAATATCGTTTTCGCAACCGCGATCAGTTACACATTCTTATGCCTAAACCTCTCGTATGAGGAGAGTGCACCGCTGGGCGTGCGCAATCGATCAACAGATGAGGGATCCAGTAATTATGAGAGCGTAAATTCACTAACCCAAATTCGGCTAGCCAGCCGAACGATCGCGCCAGGCCGAATATGAAACCCCTTCCTCGTAGATTACAGTATGCACTGCTGAGGGTGTGCGCAATCGATGAACGGATGAGAGATTCGGTAAACATGAGCGCATAATTCTATTTTCCCTAAATCGTCATCTTAATCTCCACCTATCAATTCGAGATCGTAAAAGCGCCTTAACATATTGAGGCGTATTGGGTTACAGCATCGGACACGGTAGCCGAACCACGCCTCGCATTGTTCTGATGGTTGCTTAGTCAATGCAATGGATTACGTAGCCGCGCCTGGACGAGAGGATCATTGAAATGTTGAGGGTGTTGAGGTGAACTGAACTGCATTGGGGATTCATTATTGAGTATAGCACCAATTACAAGACATTTCAGTGGATTAAAGTTGTAGGAAATAGGTTGTAAATCTGCTACAACAAGTTTAATCCAAAAACCATTCGCTGACAAGCCAAATCGCCCATGTTTTGTAAACGGATCTCTTTGTGTACTAATTAGGGTTCAACCAAATAATGTGAAGGTGACACCACTCTGACAGCGTTTCGGCTTGACAAATACGCATGTGATACGGCACAGAACACATGGTACAGAATGCTACAGCGAACTTCAAAAGATTGAGTGGTCTAGAAACCAGACGATATGCGAGTTGGTAAATCGTGGCAAGAACGTACATGTAATCATAAGGCTTCCATCTCTACAAGCTGGTCAGGCGGTAGCGTGTTTTGAGAGAATAAAAACCTCACTAGAACTAATCCATCGGCTTACCCCTCACAGATTATTGTGCCATAAAAAAGCCTACCGTAATTCTGGCATCACTTTGACATATGCATTCAAACAGATACAGCTTTTCTGGGAACATGATTATTGGGATTTCCCGTTGAACATAGAAAGGCGTTCAGAAGCGCTTGAAGATAGCTATCATCTATCAATTTCTTTTGCACCTTTACTTCAAGCTTTACTTTTACCTTTAATTATGAGGCACTTTCGATTACTCTCTTTTTTTCTTTTATCTTTGCCTCTTTTTTCATTTTTTTTGTGTCTCGCTACTCCAATAAGTAACTCGTGGTCATTTTTACCTTTTTCTTCTCTCTTCCTTTTCCTTTCCTTTTTATCCTTTCCTTTGTTTATCCTTGTCGGTTTGTATCTAAAAAAGCGTCCAAGAACGCCTGAAGATAGCTATGATTTACCAACTTCTTTCGCATCTTTATTTCATGCATTACTTTTAATTTTTATTATGAGGCACTTTTGATTACTCTTTTTTCTTTTACCTTTGCCTCTTTTTTCATTTTTTTTGTGTCTCGCCACTCCATTGAGTAAGTCGTGGTCACCTTAAGCCTTTTCCTTCTCTCTTCATTTCCCTATCCTGTCCATCTTATACTTTGATTTATTCTTGTCTAGAAGAGCGTTTAAAAAAGCCGCAAGATGGCTACAAATTACCAATTACTTTAGCACCTTTGTTCTTACATTTACTTTTAACTTTTACCATGAGGCACTTTGATTACTTTCCTTTTTTTCCCTTTCACCTTTGCCTCTTTTTTTATTCCTATTCTGCGTCTCGCCACTCTATTGAGTGACTTGTGGTCATTTTGGCCTCTTACTTCTCTCTTCCTTTCCCTTTTCTTTTTCCCTTCTTTTTGATTTCTTCTTGTTGATGTGTTTCTAGAAAGGCGTTCAGGAATGCCCAAAGATGGCTGCAAATTATTATTTTTTTCCGCGCCTCTACACCAACCTTTATTTCGAATATTCACTATTTTGATTTGAGGCACTTTTGATTTAAACTTTTTCCTTTTACTTTGCCTCAGTTTTCATCTTTTTTTTTCTGGGCTTTATCGTTTCATCTGCAACATTTGGTCATATTTACTCCTTTTTCTTCTCTCTTCCGTTTCCTTTCCTTTTTATGCCTTCCGTTGATTTTTTCTTGTCGTTAAGTGACTGTTTACAAGTATGTGCTTGAACTAACAACAAAACAACAGAATTACATCATATAACAAAAACAATGCAACGTCTTCAAAGCAAAACAAATTCTCAACGAGAAATTGTTTTGTTCTGAAGGCTCTCTCATTAAAACAATCAAGTCGTCAGCGGTCCGCCAGCAACCTTCAACATCAGAATAATACGCAATAATACATATTATCAAGTGCAATACAATAACAAAAATATGAACACATTCTATAGGATCATTACAAGAAATACGCAATTTTCATTCATTGTTACGCATATGACGTATATCATGAATCTTTTTTACTTGCTTTTCACAGAGCATTTCAGCTATACATCACCTCAACTGTATTTACAATGTACGGAATAGTCGGCGAACAAGTAGAGGTGGAGACTAGTGAGCAACGTGTGGCACAGGACGAGGCGGGGAGTAGCAGAGAAGCAACAAAGAGGCTCTCGAGTAAGGAGCTCGCAGAACTTGCAAAAGAGTGCTTTCCGTCATGGATTGAGTCTAAGAGAATCTTGAAACCACCCGTTGAACTTACAGACGGTAAGCTTGCGTTACAATTCACCCGTCATCCCTGCTTATAATACCGAACATATAATTACATGTCTTCAGCAGTGTATGCCGCTCCCAAATCTTCCAAAGCTCATCAGTACTGCTTTGTGTGTGGGAAGCATGACACATTTAATACCCTGCAATCCCATATTCGGTTTGCTCATAAGGAGGAATTCGAGGAGTGGGAGATACAGGTGCGTTCGTTCGTTCAGCTTTATATGGAATTCAGAGGATAAATCACGTTTTGTCGTGTTCAGGTACTAACACACGTGAGTCGCGGAATGATGGAAAATATGAAGAAAGCAAGAGTAGACTTCAGTCTAGTACCGGAACCTAGAACTGACCGAGAGTGGGATGCGTATGAAATCATTGTGCGCCAACTACGAGACGGCGGTATTCCGATTCATGGGGTTCTTTACTTTGATCCTTGGCTTCTGCTTTTACCGTTCCCAATGCTAACTATAACACCAACAACAAGATGCGTGTGTTACAGGCCTTTGAGCGACGCGTTGTGCTTCAACAACGTGTCTTGGCGGCGCATCCACATATGCAATTCAAAGAGCAAGAACTTATGGACCAGGCAGCGATTTCATCTCAAGGTCCTTCCACCGCATATGCATCGGTGCGACTATGCGAAATTCAAAGCTATATTTATTATCAAACTTTCACCCGACCAACATGAAACTGTTTTCTTAACAGGCGTGCACGATTCCGGAAACGTTCAGTGGACCGCATATTCCACGCGAATATGAATACAGATTTGCTCACGACGACCAGTACAGAGGTGAGCCAATCATGTGAATGACGGAATACAATAATCTAACTGAATCTCCGTACAGGTGGACATAATATCCATTCCCACTTCACGAATCGGCACAGAACAGACTTGATGTTTGCCTACTATGATGATGAATACATGCCGGACTATTTCGTGCAAGACTATACCGTGCCAACAGAGTCAGGTAGGCTTCCAAGGAGTTGCTAATTATACGAACCAAACACTTAACAAAAAGCTCTTCACTTTCTACATTGTTAAGAATGGATGAGAGGCGCGGATATGTCAATGAAGTTATGGAGGAAATTGAACGAAGAGCATCATCCGATCTTGAACATATTCAAGGAGTCTCTTAAAAAATTCATAGTAAGAAGTTTGCGAACATCTACAAGCCGCCTCTCAAACTTCCCGCGACTATTTCAGCTAATCGGTGGAAAAGAGCCTTACCTCAAGCTGGATGATCGTAGTGCAGCCCACATAGCCTTTGTCTGCCGGTTTATGCTTATAGCGATGAGAGCACGTCAGCGGTAAGTAAATTTCTGTTTCCAGTGTCCGCTTTGGGGAAGAAATCTAAGGTTCAGGTGTGGAAGAATTGTTACTGTGGACGATGCGCTCTTCGCTCACTGTATGGCCGCGGAATTTCTCCAAAAGACGCAAGAAGCTACGGTGACAGTCCATGTTCGTATGGGCTTCATCAAGTCGCTTATCGCCTTCTACAAATTCCTGATCGTTCATATGGACACCGGTACATTTTGCAGATTTTTTCTCACTCAACTTCTTTGCATATACCGAACATACATTTGTCAACAGTCGCCGGAGAACGCAGGATACCGATTGCGAAGAACGCGCTCATCACGCTGAAGCACTACTATGCAATTCTGAAGAGCGAGGGATCGAAAATCGCATCGCATAAGGGAATCGTTACTATGGGGAAGTCTAAAACGGTTCGTACTCACTACAGACCAAACACATGACAAACTTAGGTAATTTAAGTTTTTGGCTCTTTATAGAAATGCGCACTGTATGGAGCGATGCGCGCGGTCGTCAATCACCGCATGGTCAATGAAAAGATTGAGGAAATAATGAAAAAGTTTGCCAGAAGTTCGAGGGAGTTGCTTCATGTGGAGTACAATTTCGTTATGAGGCACGTTATGTACATTGACGGGAGGTTGTAGATGGAAGAAAAAACGCCCTTGGCACCTTCAACGCTACCGTGTTTCAGCGCTCTCTTCGCGTACATTGTGGTCTGCAGTGGCTCAAGGAACGAGGTGGCCTGGAAAACGGTATATGGCAGTATAGTGGAGGAGACGGAAACAGTTTTCCAACCGATGGGACTCGTCAAGCATGTGGAATCAGCTGAGAGCTTTTGGGTAAACTTTGCATTCTATCAAAAGCTGCACTTTCGTGTTCACGTAAGCTTCACATGGCAGTGTGCCATTGAGGTTTCAAACACACATTTTTTTTGGCCAACAGCATACCATTAAGAATTTAGGTTGTGCGTTTCCCGCAGCCGAAACAGCAAGCATCGGGTCATCAAGAGACTACATGCCAGAGTGGCCTTTTCGTTCTGGACAAGAAATCATATGCATGGTTGCAACACTACAAGAAACTTCGTGCCTTGTATGCCATAATAGGAAATTATTCACACCACTTTCGAAACGGCGCCGATTGTTTTCAGCGTTATCCAGCAGCATGGCCTTGCTCAAATGAACGAGCAAGCAAGTCGATTCTTCCTGTTGTGGAGCGGTAGACCCGTGTCGTGTTCATCAGCCCCACATCTTCTTCGGCGGTTCTTCATTACGATAAATTGCGAAGAGATGAAAATCACGTGTAATTCGGTAAGTGACCAAGTGCAAATAGGTGATTTTTCTCAACTGGAAATTCTATTCCATCATTCTATAGGCGAGACACGCAATTTCTGGGAGAAACTTCGACGAATCCTTGGATCAAAATGCGGCAGGGAGACTGAAGCCAGTCGATCCTAACATCGCCGCACTGCTAGGTTGGTCAACCTACTGCATAGTTTAAAATTGACAGGAAACACGTTTATACCTTTCAAGGTCACTCCGAAGAAGTCCAAGCGCGTCATTATGTAGACAGCTGGGCAAAGTCCGCTGTTAAGGGATACCGTATTGTGAAGCTGTTAGCCGAAAGACAGAAAGGACTATTCGGGGCCGATATAGCGGCGGCTGAACGACGCGTAAAATTCACGGGGTATGCTCAGTCAATTAATTTCATACAACGCTCTCCTCTCGGGTACACGGTACCTCATTTTTCAGATTCTCAAAGGTGGCTATGAAGTTGTCGGACGCGGAGGCAGAGGAGGATTGTGGAGAACGCGAACCCTATTCGCAAGACGAGGAAGATGCTGCTGTGGCATCCGATTCCAGTGGATTCGTCCCCTCAAGGCCGACTCGTAGTTAGTATCAGTATTACAGTGATTTTTTCTACAATAGACACTGTACAGACTAATATCACATAGTTATATTCCTATTAAGAAGTGGCTGGTGACGTGGCCTCAACAAGCGGCGCTCGGCTATCTCCAAGAAAGCGCGCAATGGTTTCGCCCTCATTACAAGGTACTTCTACATATTGTGACAATTACTAGACTATATTAACTGATTACATTGAGTTGCGGTAACATTACATAAGGCTCATAAAACAATACACAGTTTCAGCAGAATTTTTGGGGGACAGCAGTGATGAGGACTCCAATCGAACCCACCTCCCTCATAGACCACCAGTGGAGGTCCAAAAAAGCAAGTGGAATAAAGCGAAAAGGTTCTTGAAACGAGTAACGAAAAGGGCGGAAACGAGCGGGAACGAAGCCGGAACAAGCGGTCTACGTCAGCGTCAACATTCACTGCTTGGAAGACGAACAATTGTGTGCTCTGATGATGAACACGTCGATCCAGCCCCAGCGTCACGCTCACCAGAAATAACGACAAAGATGCTGCCGAGTGCTCCGCCGCTAGAGCACGAATTCGAGTCTCCACGAGAACCAGCTCCTTCGATGGAGCAGAGGACACCGCCGAGAACGATACCGGTGTACAAGCTTCCAGTAAGCCGCTCTCATGATGATCACATTCATCCACTTCCATCATCGCACGCATCCGAGATGAACGAGGACGCTGCCCTGTGCTCCGCCGCTAGAACACGGTATACACATAAGTGAATATAAGGGTAAAAAAACGCTGATCACAACTATCATTCCAGGGAGCCCATTCGAATTCCTCGACGACGCCGTTACAGCAGGTGCGTCGACGAAGAGTCACTCGCCACGTCATTGGCGACTCATTGCTCTCGACAGAGTGCACTGGCCAGCTATGAGGCGGAGACAAATGGTCGCTAGAACCCTAACCTTGATAGGTCCAACCCTCCGATGACGGCTGAACGACTGCTATTATGGTTGGTATTCAGTCGAAACTACTTCTTCAATTGGACACCACTCATGGACTGGACAGTTTCGCAGCATACAAAGCGAGCCGCATTGTTATGTGCCCTGAAAATGCACATGTGAGTCGAAAAGCGATTATTTGGTTACTTCCGTTCATGCACCATCGTGCAAGCCTCCTTCCGATTTCAGAGATACGATCCCTCCAATGAGGTCATCCATTCGACGCGGATAACAGCTGAGTAAGCTGCTCATGGCAGCTTACGGAGATGCATATCATAGGAAGAGGAAAGCGTCGGTGGTGATTGTGCTGAAACCGGCAGTCGGTATATGCAGCAGTGGTACTTCTTGGTGAGGCCATCTCACCAAGTTCACCACAAAGGTATAGCTGTTGCGTGAGTTACAACGAGTCTGCACAGAGTTGCTATGCGGTGAGCGCTATCCCCATAAATGCTTTATTGAGCAATCACACTTTTGAGGCTACATCGTTTCAGGTTCGCAAATGTCCGTTGAATACCGAAGGACCAACCCTAAGCGAAGAGTTTTGCAGAGCAGAGCTGCTGCATTTTAGGACCAAGAATCATGATATGTGGACGGACTTGTTGTACAAGAAGAACCTGGAAATTTCGTATGTTCTCAACATCATGCGCCATATCACGCGCTCCAAAGTCTTTGTACGTTTAGAATTTAAATTTTTCTTTCAATTCTATTTTTCTTCGATTTGTTCGTAGAATATGAGCAAATATTGGTCATGAATTCATTTTCTTGTAAACTGTTGATATGAGTCAAGTGGTAAGTATTTTTGTTGGTACAGTTTCACATTTTGGTTCCATGTTTTCGAAGAGTGATTCATTTTTTATGGCTTAAGTATTTATTCCTATTCGTTTTTTTGTGTTTACATTATGTTTTCATGTTTTCAGGGACTAGAATATGAACAAAACATTAAAATAAGACATTCACTGAATGGTCTATGTGTTATATCTGCATATTTGCTTGCGAATATATAAATATACACACAGACATGTACAACATAAATATAAATATATAACCATCATAAACAGAATTGTCACACGTCTATTGAGTCATGGTCATTTGAACTGTTTAAGAAAGAAGTTCACAAATGACGGTGCGGTGCTCAGCGCTCGAATCCACGATGGGATACAAAAGCCGACCAACCACTGCTGAAGAAGCCACGAACGCGTTCTACAACGTATACGCAAATAATAACATACAATAATACCGAAATAAATGATTTCGTGCAAAGCTGGGCATGCCTAAAATGTGTTCATACATTCATTGATATTTTTTTTGATGATATGAATCCGAATTTCGTTTTATCACGAGTCCCACTGCTCGAAAGGTCAATATCGGAATCTAGTTTACAGCTACAGAATGCAGTCGGCTCACGTCTACAAAGTGTTGGCTATTTTGGTGCTTTTCTGCACCAAAGATACGAGTGGAGAATTCGGTGCCTACGCGCCAGAGTTCGTGCATATTCCTGCACAGATCAATGGAGCAAATCATGATGAATTGCTACGTAATGGTCTCTACGCAGAAATAATTGGCGAAGTTGCAGATAGGAAAGAAGCTTGTGGAATAGTGCTACTCGGTGAGCACTTTTGCACTCTTTCACACATCACTATCACTCTCTGGATCAACGTTCGATTAAACTACACAATTTAAACAGACTACACGGCTTATGTTGACGGGCATCTGTTCGAGGCGGCAATAAAACCACTTGAAGATTATATGCTGGCAGCAGATATGAGACCCACCACCGCCTTGAATAAAACTCTTCGATCGGAGGTTAGTCCCACGATTTGTGTGCTTACGCCACGGAATTTCATGAGAAATGTGTACAGGTGTATAAGACGATGAAGGCAACAGCATTGGCGGGGCACAAAAGTGAAATGAGAGCTCTATTCGACATGCGCCGCAACTCCACCCCTTTATTCAGGTGAGCTAGATTCTATACACGTTTACTGCATTTTTCTGACGCGATTCCTCTGCGCAACTACGAGTATTCTCAGATCGATGGAACTGCAGTTCTTCCCCTACCGCGGAGTCGTGGCGCTCGGTATTGGAATGGGACTTGGTGGCTTGATATTCGAAGGACTTGAACATTTTTTGAAGGACAGTGAACTCAGCGACTACAAAGCGGTGAGTCGTCTTGCGAAATTCGTGCTCTACGTGTGTTTGCCTGAGACTTCAACTTGTTCGAATCCACATTTCAGGAGACTAAGAAAAAAATGGTTGCTATCGGACATACGTTTTGGACATGTTCAATGAGATGACTTTTGAAACGTCAAGGTATACTCCAGATGTTGATAGTTCATTTTGTAATGTTAGATGAGTTCATTTTTCCTACTGCAATTCCACTTGCATGATTTTACAGAAACCACTTCCAATACACATTTGCATTGGTGCGATACCAGTGTATAGGCAAGTGAGCGATACCTCGACCAACTGTTCGGATTTGCAGAGTGGCGAAGAGCTATTGCACAGGTCAAGTAACGCAGCCTGATGTCAGCAATTGAGCGACTCGTTGGCGCGCACTTCAACATTTCATTGCTGCGTTGCACGGTATTGGCGCAAGGGATGCCTTGAAGGCTAATGTGATTGGGATGAATAGAGAAACAATGGAGATAAAGGTAATCGCATGATAATAGTTTTCGATGTAGATAGTGCTAATAATGTGGTCTCAGATTTGCTACCGATGACCACGATTTTGGATGTTGACTACTTGGTTCGAGTGGAGCCGCTTGGGCAGTTCCTGCCAAACATGACGTCATATTGGATGCACGATGTCGGAGGACTGTACGCGATCGGAAAGCGGACAGGAAATCAATTTGGCCACACTCAAGAGGGTGGAACACGAAAGTCTGTGTAGGCACTCGTCGTCGTTATGCTGTGCAATCTGCGAGAACAAATGCCCGGATGTGGACTGCTCTCTGCAGATAGGCATAATTGTCGACTGGTCATGCACAATTCGACGGACAAGCATGTACGGTTGTTGTATTAGGGTACAAGAACAATGAGGATATTACCATTACTCATCTATTACAATTACAGTTCACAATGGTGCGGCCGCTAGCACGTTCCGTGATAATAGCAACCAGGGCCACGCGAATTCGAGAGATGCCTCAGCAAACCATCGGCAAACCACGGCCAGCAAGGATTGTCACGATCGGTGTTTGCTGCCGAGGTTCCGAAAGGGAAGTGGTTATTGATCGGAGACGAGCAGATCGACTCGCGTGTGGTCCAGGGCGTAATGGGCACAGATTTCAAAATCATAGTACCGGTGAGTACCGTCGTATCGGTTTTCAATATTCTCGATGTGAGATACTGTAAGTAATACACAGCATTTATCAGGATACTATCCCGGACTACACGCCTAATGCGTCGCCACATATGGGATCGGACTCCTGGAATTGGTCTACCTCTGACGCATCAACGCTGCTGCAGCCACTGATCTTGTTGTTTGTCATTGTCTTTGGCGTGTTGATGTATTGGAACTTGAAAAAGGACTACAAAGATATGATGCAATGGAAGAATTATTATCAAGCGCATCATATGCCTCAATATCCTCCTGTTCCTGGTATATTTGACTAATAAAGATTCCTATTAAGCACAGACTCGTTGATGAGGAGGACTACAGAGTTTTCAGACTCAAACCTATTTAAATAATTTCCGTAAATGATCAAAACTTTCTAGACTTGTATGTATTTGCCCGATTTCCGTCGACATATACTGCTTGATCATTTCCCTGAATTTTGGCTGTCAATTTTAGTTCAAATTAGGAAAATGGACAGGCAGACGCCAGAAAACAGTCCTGCTCGAGATGTCAGACGTGGTAGTACGGCTCCATTGAGAAGGACAGCTCAGCAGGAAAGCATTCGCGACATCGGAGAGTATGCAAGATCAGCATTGCCCGGGCCAATTCCTGGTATATCTCTGGAGTTGCCCAAAGGTGAGGAAGTAGTGCTTAAGATGTGACGACATTTAAAATAATTATGTTCGTACGTTCAGAAGTGTACTTTCCACCCGCTGAAGAGAATGGATATCAGATATGTTTTAAATGTGGAGAACATGGCAAATTTCGATTTCACGCCCACATGGCGGCTAAGCATGGTATCAAGAAGAAGGATGCCGAAGGGACCCTGAACCGACTTTATCAGGTAAACTACATGGACACCTTCCACAACGATTCCCCCTACATAAACCATATACTTTGAAGGCACATAAACAAGTTACTAGAGGAATACTGGAACGGATGAAAGGCGCTTTTGTGGATCTCTCTCTTATTCCTAAACCACGAGAGGCGAGGGAGTGGGCAATTTACATGGGATTTGTTAACCAGCTACGCAACCGCGGCATTCCACTAATTAAAGACGTAAGTACTGGACACAATCTGATTGAGTTTGTGTTTAAATCACTACATTTTCCAGGATCTGAACGTAGGTGCCCTACAGCCACCTCTTCCCCCACCCCATCATCCGGTATCCGCAGCTGCTGCTGCCATAGATGTGCAAGAACCACCAGTACCGCCTAGAGCGCCACTAGTTGAACAAGATGAAGAAGACGAGCAAAGACCAGGACCATCACGACACGACCACACACGAGGAGCACCAGCTATACCGAGACAGCAGCTGTGCTACACCGTCAATGTCACCGAAGATCCAGACTTTGAAGGTCAGTGCTTAAAGTAAAGCGAGCGGATAACGATGAAAATGTTACAGTTGGGTCCCTCGTACACCAGTGGTTTCTGGAGGCTCCTCGAAAGCCGTTGATGTTCGCCCACGAACAGGACGATTGGATTGGAGGCGAGGAAACGTACTACAAGCAAACCTTTTCAGTGCCACCAAAAAGCAGACGTGGTCTAAGTGAGTAGCGTAAAGTAGTATACAGTGCGATTAGGGTGTGCTCCTGGTAGTATGTTAATTTTCAAGAATGGATGAGTACGGTCAATCAGGAATTGAAATTGTGGAGAAAACTGATTCGAGCGAATCATCCAATACTGCGATGTTACACAGCAAGTCTCGAGTTCACGACGGTGAGAGATTTGCACTATAGTAGACTGGGCGGAAGGATAGCATTCTAATTTTGTAACTTCCGCTTTGCCTCTGTTTGTGAAATAAGATGGGCCGACCGATAGCCACTTGTTTGATTGCAGTCAGTACCACTACGAGATGAAGCGGGTGTTCGAAAACTTCACCAGGAAATTCGCCAAAAATGCAAATCATATGCCAGTAATGTGGAACGGTTCATGCTGGTAGCAATGCGTTCAAGACAAAGGTAACACCAACCATTAGCGGGTGACGACGCGAGTCGGCCAACGACTATTCAACAAAATTCAGTTTCAAGCTTTTTCTATTCAGATTTGGCCAAACAATGACCCTTGATGACGCTATTTATTCCTGCGAGATTGTTCAAGAATTCTTCCGCAGACTACAACAGGCGGGGGTGGTAGTGAGTGTGAGGTCGCTATTTGCAAAGTCTTTACTGTCATTCTATGAATACTTGAGATTGAATATGGGCCCAGGTTTGTGAATTACATAGTGAGTAGTGTTCTACAAGATACTAACTGATTTCAATGTTCAAGCGGCCGGATATAGCAGACATGTCGCACTTCAATGTGCAATAAGAACCGCTCAGGATGTAATTGCCAGAACAAAGATGGAGACAAAAGCACTGAAAACCTATCAAGGAGTTTGTGATCCTGACAGAGATCGGGTAACCGAATACGACACGACACCCATTGAAAATTGATAGCTTCTGGAGCGTTGCATTTTTCAGGCAGATGAACCTTACTGTGTCATACGTACAATAGTGGAATACGATCAAATTGATGAAAACATAAAAGCCATAATGAGGAAATTCTACGGAGATGTAGGCTCTATACGGCGTCATGATTATTACTTTGTGATGAGGTAGGTTATAAACAGAATGAGACGGTTGGACATGAACATAGTAGATTTTAAAAAAATCTGTTTAGCGCTATTATGACGTATCTGGTACACTGCAATGCTGCACGTAATGAACTCACATACAAAACTATTTATGGTAACGTAATCGCCCTCCAAGTGGTTGAGCCTGGTACAGATGTTATAGGAAGTGACGAGGTGTTCAGGGTATGCACAACCTATAAGCTCTATAGATGCATAGCGGTATAGCTTTTGTTAACATTCTATGTTGTCTGTTTAGGTTATAAGTTTCCCTCAGTCGAAGAATCTTAACAGAGCACATGAGCCCACAGCTGAAAACAGTGGTTACTTTGTCGTCGATGAGAAGTGTATGGAATGGCTGAATCACTACAAGAAACTTCGTGAATAGTACGTTGCACGCACCTCGCATGCTACCTTGCCGATTAACCGACCGATTTAGCGTATGTCGCCAAAACCACATCCGCAAACCTGAAGACCCTATGAAGGGATTTTTTTTGCTGTGGAATGGAAGCGATATGAAACAGCAGAGCTCACGTCGTCTTATGAAACAGTTTCTCGGTGTACTAGGATGTGGTGAGCTGAATATAAGCTGCAGCACGGTGAGCACGTAACACGCTTCCTACTTGTTATAAATCACTGCTTTGTTGTTTCAGTCAAGGCGGAGTGTGGCACATATAGAGCATGAAAAGTTCATCAACGAACGAATGAGAAGATTAGAGAACACTTTTGCTGATGCTGATGTAGCTCGCCTGCAATGTGAGTAATAGGTGATGTGTAATATACCACCGTTGAGGGAATCACAAAGTATCATTTGAACATTAACAGCCCACGATCCAATGGCACAACTAACATATGTGGAGCGATACCGAAAATCCTGCGTGTATGGCTACCTAAAGCTGAGGAAGTATGCCAGCGACGAGGCAGAAAAGTAAAAGAACGAATAACTACAGTGAAAAGGATGTTGCAACTGTCACCAGGGTAAGTTAATCGATTGAACATTCGCTGATAATCCTATGATCGCCGATATTCAGAGCTATGGCTGCAATGTCACCACAACTGCAAGAAATTGAAGGTATGGATCAGGATCAGGAAGACTTGGCTGTAGAGAGTGATTCGGCAGATGAGGCACTGTACTATCGCCAAGTAGGTGATTCGGTCAACGACGTTGAACCAACATTCGAGAGAGCATCTGGACTTCAAGACCCACTGCAACAGCGACGCGATGGCAGTGGTGACCAACCAGAGATGGAACAAGGGGAGCCCGTCGAAATGCATGAAGCAGAAATGGAACAAGAAGGAGTTCTAGTCGAGCTTTATCGACCAGGAGGAGAACAAGAAGAGCCCGTTGAGGTGCATGAAGCAGAAATGGAACAAGAAGAGCCCGTCGCGGTTCATGAGCCAGAGCTGGAACAAGAGGAGCCCATCGTTATGCATGAAGCAGAAATGGAACAAGAAGAGCCCGTCGAGGTTCATGAGCCGGAGCTGGGACAAGAGGAGCCCATCGTTATGCATGAAGCGGAAATGGAACAAGAAGAGCCCGTCGAGGTTCATGAGCCAGAGCTGGAACAAGAGGAGCCCGTCGAGGTCCCTCAACGACGAATGGAACAGGACGAACCCGTCGTGGTTCATGATCGAAACGCTGGATTGCTGCCAGAGATAGCCCATCCCGACAATGTGCTCCAATACATGCGAGATCACAATACCAAACCGTCTAGGAAGGAGGACTTAGGTGGCTATAGCACTGAATTCGAACGACAATGCTTCAATCTACGACGTACAGCTCAACCAATCCAGGTGAATTGATTGAGCAGCCTATCTAAACACACAGATAAGGCAGAGCCATTAAGAGTTTTTTAGGACTTTCCTTGGCTTGAAATACGAGATATCCCTAGCATTAATGGGAAGGGAATATTTGCCAAAGTCGACATTGACAAGGGTCGAATCGTCAGCGATTATAGGTAATCTCTCAAAGTTACCAGTCAATTTCGTTCTATATCGGTGCCCAACTCTATCTACTCTATACATGTTTCAGAGGCACATTTGTAACCGTGCCTGATGTGGTGCGAATGAGACGAGAAGTGGGCTCGCAATATGCGAACCATATAGGTGATTACGAGGTCGAATATAACGGTGAATGTTGTGTCTGCATATAGCGCTCCTGAGTATCGGAAATGAATTATTTTCAGCTTACGTCCATGATCGGCATGGTAGTAGACGTGCGTGGAAATATGCAGTTCTCGCACATAATCCCATATACAAAGGAGCGGTAACACTGGGTCGGCTTATCAATCACAGCAGCATCCACTCAAATCTCCTTTATAAGCATATCGATAGTAGTTATGCCACGGATTTAGGACCACAGTTGAACATGCTGATAATCTTTGAAGCAAGTCGAAATATAGCGGTATGGGTGATTTCTACTATGCACAGTTTCCATCAACTCTACCTTACTT